CACATAGCCTGGTCAAATACAATGTATGAAAAAGGCAAGTTGCAGAAAACTACGTAAAATCATGATACCACAGGGGCACCTGGGTGGCTCAGTCACTTGAACATCTGACCTTTGATTTTGGCTCAGGTCATGATCTCATGGTTTGTGGGTTCGAGCCCCACATTGGGCTCTTTGCTGACAGTGTGGAGCCTGCTTGGGGTTCTCTCTATTCCTCCTTCTCTGCCCTTCCCCTGCTCACATGCTTGCTCGTGCTCTCTCTCTCTCTCTCATAATAAAGAAATAAACTTAAAAAAATAAAGTCATGTTACCACATATATAAAGCTCAAACAAGTAAATTAAATAATATTTTGTTTAGGGATGCATATACATATGATAAATCTACAGATTTTTAAAATTTTTTTAAAAAATGGTCAACGTAAAATTCAAACTAGAGTTACTTCTGGTGGGGAGGCGGGTCAAGACATGAAAGAGGTGTAGAGGTGGAGGCATCAATAGGTAACGTTCTAGTTCTTCAACTGAATGGTGGGTCTCCAGGAGTTTATTTTATGTTGCATTTATTCTTTTGATGTGTCAAATACCAGACATGAAGCTTTTTACAGACAGGCCTGTAGTTACCCTCCTTCACCACTACATGACAGGCTAGTCCGTCAGTAAAGTAACTCCTGAAAGGAAAAGGCTGGCGAAAGGCAGTGTTCTTGGGGCAATTACCCTACAGGGTGATGCTCAGAGTGTGTACGACTCAGGTGCACAGTACTCTGGCTGGCATCTTGAAGCCAGGTGGCCAGGTTTTGTTTTGTCCTTCCTTTCTTGCCTGCTTCTGTAACCATTTTACAGACTTAAAAGTGTATCTGCTTCAATGTTGATTTTGATATCTCAGAATTTTCCGAGACTTCCCAAGGCGTTCACTCCTAAGTGAACAACATGGAGCATGAAATTGATTACTTGGCCTCCTTCATGGCAACTGACACATCTAATTGCCCCTTCTGTGTTTATTGATCTGGAGCTATGTTGTTCAGCACTAGCAGTAGAACCACTGTGTAATGAATTTCTGGATGACACTGTTATATACAGGGATATTTACATTTTCATTAACAATGTTAAAATAGCAACACAATAGTCAGCAGAAACACTCACAGAAATTCTGCTGTCTCACAGCTGCTTCATGTGATGTAACTGACAAACGTTAGTGGATGTTTGTTTTAGCGGCCAATGTTATACCACCAGTGGCAGCAGCCCAGAGCAGGCCCCAGCCACCCGCTTGTTTTCATTCTCTGGACCTGCCCTGTCCACTACATCAGCCACTGGCCACACACGTGGCCACTGAGTGCTTGGAATGTGATGTGCCCTAAGTGTAAAATAACTCTGAATTTTGATGACTTGGTATAAAAAAAAAAGGTGCCTGTTAATAATTGTTCATACTGATTACCTGTGGAAATGATTATGTTTTAGACATGTTAAATAAAATGTACTATTAAAGTTAATTTCATCTGTTTTCTTTTACTTTTTTAAATGTATGTTTTTGAGAGAGAGACAGAGCATGAGCAAAGTGGGGTGTGGGGGGGGTAGGCAGAGAGAGAGAGAGGGAGACACAGAATCCAAGGCTCTAGGCTCTGAGCTGTCAGCATAGAGTGGGGCTTGAACTTGTGAACTGCGAGATCATGACCTGAGGGGAAGTTGGTCGCTGAACCGAGCCGCCCAGCTGCCTCTCCTTTTACTGTTTCATGTGGTCACTAGAAATTTTAAAATGACGTACTACGTGGCTCACAATGTGGCTCATATTGTTATTTCCACTGGGCAGCACTACTTGAGATTTTGCCACTGATGCTTGTGCATACAGAGCTGGCTTCATGGTGTGTGGCCATTGCATTAGCCCGGCTCTCCACCTGCTGCCACCTTAGCCCAGGGCAGGGTCTGGGGCAAGGTCGTGGGGAAGGGCGGGGGGGGGTGTGCGGCTGTGGCCATCCATTCCCAGGGCTGGCAGCTCCAGGTGTCTGGCCCATTCCAATCCAGGGGTGCAGCGCGATTGGCGCCCCACAGAGGTGACAGTACCGTTGGGAGTTGCCTGTCTGCCTGGTTTGGGCAGCAGGGCCTTTAGGGAGGCAAGACAACCAGCCAGGATGTGGCACCATGGTGGGCGCTGGCGGGAGCACGTGGGTCTGGACTGGAAAAGGAAGTGTGCCCTAGTCTGGCTTTGAGCTTGGTGGGAAGGTGGGGGGAGGGGATCTTCCTCCTTCCCAAACTTCCTCAGTCTCTTCCGGACTGCTCAATGCACTCCCTAGAGATAAGCCACACGATGAAAACTGTGCAATTTCTGATTCCACATGTGAATTAAATACTATGATATTTGCATTTAAAACTGGCACTGCACAGAGGGCCTGGGTGGCTCACTTGGTTAAGCATCTGACTTCAGCTCAGGTCATGATCCAACAGTTCCTGAGTTGGAGTCCCTCATCGGGTGAGCTGGAGCCCTGCTTCTAGTGAACACAGGCCCCATTCCTGGTGAGCCCCACTTCTGTCTGTCTCTCTCTCTCTGACTTGCTCTCTCTTTCTCAAAAATAGAAAACAAACAACCCCTACCAAAACTGGCACTGCACAAGACAAAGAATGGTAAAATTCATGCTAATAATTTAAATCTTAAATTTTTCTTTACAGTTTTAAACAGCTGAACAAAGTTTTTAATGTGTAATTGTAAAACATCGTATCATATGAGATTTACCATTGAAACCATTTTAACTGTGCAGCTTAGGAGCTGTACAATATATTCCTATTGTAAACCAGTGTCTCCAATTTTAGTATCTGTGCTGTGGGAGCGAGCAGTGTGCAGCGAGGCCCCAGAACTTTCTCATCTTGCAAAACTGGAACCCTACACCCATTCAACAGTGACTTTCTTCCATCTCTTCCTCCTGCTAGGCATGGCAACTGCCATTCTGCTTTCTGTTTCTATGAGTTTGGCTGAAATCATATAGCACTTGTCTTTTTGTGACTGGCTATGTCACTTAGCATAATGTTCTTAAGGATCATCTATGTGGTGGTATGTGTCAGAATGGCCTTCCTTGTTAAGATCGAATAATTTTCCACTGTATGTATATACCACATGCTCGTTACCCATTCATACATCCCGGAACATGTGGGTAACGTTGTCATGAACTTGGATGTACAAATATCTCTTTCCAAATGTTGGCTAAAACAAACAAAGCTACAATGCATATCTTCATACACAATCACTTTGCACACATGTGAGTATATCTGTAGGTTATGCTCTTCAAGGTAAAATTGTTGGGTCAAAGGAAATGTACATTTTATACTTTGTTAAATATTGCCAAACTGCTGTCCACAGAGGCTGAACCATTTTGCATAGCTTCACCAACACTGTATGTTTTCAAACTTTGAACAAAATGATAGATTAGAAGTGGAATTTTCATCAATAAGAATAAGTGGAAACATGTGAAATATGTGTAAGTCCATGAATTTGTAATGGCACCATAAAAACTCCCAAATTTTAGGGGCATCAATCTCAGTCAGTTAAGCATTGGACTCCTAATTTCAGCTCAGGTCACAGTCTTACAGTTCATGAGTCTGAGCCCTGTGTCTGGCTCTGCACTGACAGTGAGGAGCCTGCTTGGGATTCTCTCTCTCCCTCTCTCTACCCCTCCCCTGCTCCTGATCTCTCTCACTCTCAAAAATAAATAAATAAACATTAAAACACACACACACAAGAAACCTCTCACATTTTCAAAGTTCGCTTTTGAAGGATGCCAGGGAAACAATCGAAAACAAATGAAAACAAAAGGAAGGAAGCAATGTGACCTGCCTTTTCTTTCTTTTTTTAAAAAAAAATTTTTAATGTTTATTTATTTTTGAGAGACAGAGGGAGACAGAGTGCAAGCTGGGGAGGGGCAGAGAGAGGGGGAGACACAGAATCTGAAGCAGGCTCCAAGCTCTGAGCTGTCAGCACAGAGCCCAACACGGGACTCAAACCCACGAATCGTGAGATTGTGACCTGAGCCGAAGTCAGAGGCTTAACTGACTGAACCGCCCAAGTCCCCCCTGCTTTTTCTAGGTAAACTGTACATCAGGATAGCCAAGTAGTTGGAGAGAGGAAATTTCTCTTTATAAAAGTATTCTCACTGTTAAATGGAGAAGGAAGAATGTAGCCACTGAAAAACCACACAAAGACAATGATCACTGATGATTGCAAAAGAGATAAAGTGAGGAAGAGATGGCTAGACATTCTGGGGCCCCGATAGTAGATCATTGCTCTGTCTCTGAACTCTACTTGCCTAACATCTAAACTTGGATCTGATCAAGTCACCAGGTCTACCTGCCAACTACCAAGTGACAGAAAAAATAGGGATAAGAACACGTTAAGCAAAATATCAGGGGGATGCGATCGGCAAAATCCAGACCCTAGGAAACTCAAGTGACCTAATTTCTTCTATAAATAAATTAGACGAAAAAAAAGAGGGAGGAGAGATCTCTAAATTAAAATAAATTTAAGGTTCATAGCAGCCAAGTGGAATACATGGGCATTTTAAAATTTTGACTTAAATAAGCAAACTAAAATGTGGTATTATTTATGAGATAGTGGGAATTTGAACCCTGATTCGATATTTAATTATATTAAGAAATTATTGTTGATTAAAAAATTTTTTTAATGTTTATTTATTTTTGAGAGAGAGAGAGAGAACCTAAGCGGGAGAGGAGCAGAGAGAGAGGCAGAATTTGAAGCAGGCTCCAGACTCTGAACTGTCAGCATAGTGCCTGACGTGGGGCTCGAACTCACAGACTGCGAGATCATGACCTGAGCCGAAGTTAGATGCTTAACTGACTGAGCCACCCAGATGCCCCAAGAAGTTATTGTTAATCTTAAGTCACTATGATATTGTGCTGTTTTATTACATGATGTCTTAGATATTAGAATACTATTTTCTAGATTTGTGGCATTATGGTTAGGTTAAAAAATCTTGTCTTCTAAAGATATGCTAAGAGACAGAGTCCAAACCATGGCGGAGAAGGCTCAAAAGAGTGTGAAGATTGCTCCTGGAGTAGTTGTATGTGTAGAAAGTGAAATCCGGGGTGATGTAACCATAGGACCTAGGACAGTGATCCACCCTAAAGCACGGATTATTGCAGAAGCCGGACCAATAGTGATTGGTGAAGGTAACCTGATAGAAGAACAGGCGCTTATCATAAATGCTCACCCTGATAATATCACCCCTGATACTGAAGATCCAGAACCAAAACCTATGATCATTGGCACCAATAATGTGTTTGAAGTTGGCTGTTATTCCCAAGCCATGAAAATGGGAGATAATAATGTTATTGAATCAAAAGCATATGTGGGGAGAAACGTAATCTTGACAAGTGGTTGCATCATCGGGGCTTGCTGTAACCTGAATACATTTGAGGTCATCCCTGAGAATACAGTGATCTATGGTGCAGACTGCCTTCGTCGGGTGCAGACTGAGCGACCACAGCCCCAGACACTACAGTTGGATTTCCTGATAAAAATCTTGCCAAACTACCACCACCTAAAGAAGACTATGAAAGGAAGCTCAACTCCAGTTAAGAACTAAGAACAATATATGACATCAAGTTAACAGTTTGTCTTTGACCACTGTCTTTTGAAAGAGCCACACTGTTTATGTGCTCTTAGCAATTCATAGACTAATACATGTTGACTTTATTTTATAAAATTGAGTCAGAGACGAAAGTAATGGATTTTCATTGTAACTGTCCTCTGTAACATACATAAATTATTTTCCTATATCCTTGCTCCTTTTCTGAGTATTTACAGGTTTGGTTTATTTTTCTTTTGTCATATAAAATGTTGGCCGTGATTTTAGTTGTATAAAAGACTCCTTGTGATAAGAAAGGGCATATTCTTATGTATTTATATTCTAGCATATACTGTACTAAATAAAAATGCTAGTGACGGGACTTTTAGTGAAAAAAAAAATAAAGATATGCTAAAATAATTATTGATGAAGTGATACATTTGAGATTTGTTTCAAAATGACACAGTGGGAGTGTGTGCGGGATGGGGTGTGGAGGAACCAAATTGACTGAGTTTATGATGAATCTGGGTGATGCATGCTCTACAATTCTCTGCATTTTTGTTCATGTTTGAATTTTTTCAAGAGAGCTTATTTCAAAAAGAGAATGTAAAGAGAGTAATTAGAAACAATAGGTACATATTGTTCTTTGTAAGAATTTTAGTGTAAAAAAGGAGCAAAGAGGAAAAAGAATCAATAGCTACGAGTCAAGGGAAGGTGTTTTTCTGCCCAACATGAGACTTGAGATCAAGAGATCTCAAGCTCTACCAACTGAACCAGCCATGCATCCCAATAGAAGGTTTTTTCTTTTATTTGAGAGAGAGAGAGAAAAAGAATGCACAAGACGAGGTGAGGGGCAGAGAGGGAGAGAGAATCTTAAGCAGAGTCCATGCTCAGTGCAGAGTCTGATGTGGGGCTTGATCCCATGACTTTGGGATCATGACCTGAGCTGAAATCAAGAGTTGCACATTTAGCTGACTGACCCACCTAGGCAACTCAACATTAAGTTTTTTGGTTTTTTTTTTTTTTTTAAAGCAGGCAATATTAAGGGCCCCTGGGTGGCTCAGTCAGTTGAGCATCCGAATTCTGCTCAGGTCATGATCTCATGGTTGGTGGGTTCAAGCCTTGCATCAGGCTCTGCGCTGACAGCTCAGAGCCTGGAAGCCTGCTTCAGATTCTGTGTCTCCCTCTCTCTGTACCAATCCCCCTCTCATGCTCTGTCTGTCTCTCTCTCTCAAAAATATATAAACGATTTAAAAAATTGTTTAAAAAGCATGCAATATTAACAGAGGCAAGTATTAAAACAGTATGTATTATACGCTTTGAATACAAATATATGGAAAGCAAACTAATTCCACATCTGGGACTAGAAGATTTAGCCCCCACCCATGGCAAACTCACAGTATGGAAAGGATAGACGGCAAAAACAGGCAAAAGTAGGCAGGCTTCCACTTTTGTGAGAAAAGGGATTTCAGATAAGAAGTTGGGCTTGTTGCGTAAGAACGGACACCACCCATATCAACATGACACACAACCGTTCCAGAAAATCCTTGCCCAGGAAGATAAATGGATTAATTGCTAGCTCAAGAAATTAATTTATCAGGGCAAATAGGTTGCTCATCAGGGACAGGACAGGTGACTGCTATCCTATCGAGACCACAGACAGCACATACAGGCAAAGAGTTCACCATAATGACAAAGGCTATTTATCAAGACTTGTGTTAAGACCCCTGCTTCTCTGGGTCTGTGAATGCTAAACTGTGCCCAATCTCCATCAATTTCTTGCTTTGAAAAACCACCTTAAATCATGTAAGCCCAGACCCCCAAAATCCTACAAACCTCCTTTCTCGAAATCCCCTTTCTAAGATACTACCAGATCACGATCAAGCTGTTACTCTCCCTTGCTGCAGGAAATACCCAATAGCCTTACTCCGCTTGATCAACAGATTTTGCTGGTGTCCTTTTGGGGAGTTGGCAGCACACAAGATCTGTGAACTCAAGTGTGAAAAAAAAACCCTGACATTTATTTAACTGAAATTCAGTATTTCCTTTAACTATGAATATAAGCAACAAATCACAGTGACTGTGGCCATGTCACAATAACAATTATGACCGTCTGTCACCAGGTCTGCATTTACAGCTGTTGCATATATCTCATTTATGCTCACTACTGTTTTTTTTTTTAATTCTTTTTTTTAATGTTTTATTTATTTCTAGGAGAGAGAGAGAGACAGCGTGAACAGGGGAGGGTCAGAGAGAGAGGGGGTCACAGACTGAAACAGGCTCCAGGCTCTGAGCTGGCAGTCAGCACAGAGCCGGATGCGGGGCTCGAACCCACGAACCGTGAGATCATGACCCAAGCGAAAGTCGGACGCTTAACTGACTAAGCCACCCAGGCGCCCCTGCTCATCACTACTTTGAAATTAATGTGGAGTTAGGGCCGTGAAGGCTCTGAGATTTTGCCAACGTACAAGCTACCAAGTCAGCTTGCCGCAGTTTCGTGGATCATGGCAGAAGTCACAAAACTCCTGGATCCGACATGAAAAGATTTTATTACTCACAACAAAAGGGGTAGAGCCAGAGTGTCAGTGTATTTGTGCGGCTTCCCTAATTTCTATTTCCCCAAGGCATGCCCGGCCAGGTCACAGGAGCCCAGGTAGCAGATTTTGTTAAAAGACATGAGTTTAGGGCCCAGGGCCCTGCAGTTTCTGAGCAAGCAACAAATGTAGCAAGCAGCAAATAAACTAGTCTGGTTGCTTAAGTGACCAGCTACTGATGCTGCTCAGAATTGAGCAACGGATAAGCCCTGTAGTCTGGCACACTCAGCAAGAATGTACAGGGTCACTCAGGACTCCTGTGGACTGCCTCTTCAACATGCAGTACTAGACCTTGGTATTAATGCGTTTATAAAGGAGCAGACACAGGGGGTCTTGGCTGGCTCAGTCAGCAGAGCATATGAGTCTTTTTTTAAAATGTATATTTACTTTTGAGGGGGTGGGTGGAGAGGGGCAGAGATAGAGACACAGAATCTGAAGCAGGCTCCAGGCTCTGAGCTGTCAGCACAGAGCCCGACGTGGGGCCTGAACTCACGAACCGCGAGATCAGGACCTGAGCTGAAGTCGGACGCTTAACCGACTGAGCCACCCAGGTGCCCTAGAACATGTGACTCTTGATCTCATGAGTTTGAGCCCCACATGGGGTATAGAGATTGCATAAAATAAAATAACATAAAATAAAATAACATAAAATAAAATAAAATAAAATAAAGGAGCAGATACATTATCATATCATTTTCCTTTTTTATTTTAATATAACTGGGTTCCTTTTTTATTTTTTGTAATATATGCATATACATACATAATTCTGAGAGGGGTTGGTGGGCTTCACCAGATTGCCAAAGGAATCCATGGCACAAATAAGGTCATGAAATGGAAGATTTAAACAAATATTTTCACCAACAAGTATTGCTATGAAAAGAAAATTTTATATAGCTCCATCACTCAGGAAAACCTGCTCTGAACTCTTTTGGTCAAGAGGGCAGAGTGGGAAGGGCCCCGGTGTCAAATCCAGGAGACTAGAGTTTGGCTCTCAGCTCTGTGAATGCCCCACTAGTTACTTAAACTTTTTGTGTTCAGTTCTCATCTGTCATGTGAGATACTTGTCACCTAATGCACTGGCTCATGGCTCGAAACAGACTCGAGAGGCAGACTCTCACACGTTGTCTGTGGGAGTGTAAACTATATTTCCTGGAGAGTAACTTGGCTTTATATACTCAAAAATATTCAAATCCTTTGAGCTAGTAAATCCATTACTAGAAATTTATTATTAGGATATAATCAGATACACACAAAGACATAACTGACAAGATGTTCATGGCAGTATTATTTATAATCGTAGTATTTTTGCAAACATTTTGAATGTCCGATAATTAAAGCAAGGCTACAGAAATTGTGGTGCATCTATACTGATAAATGCGGTCGTAGTGAATTGTCAGAGCAGAATATTTTGTAACATTAAGAAATGACTGTGATTTTATGTTAAGTTATGTTATGCAAAACTCTTTGCTGAAAGTGTTATTGCTAGTAGTATGACACATACATATTTGAGATTTTAAAATTTACATTAAAAAATTTCCCCTACATTTCTTTTTTTTTTTTTTATTTTTAATGTTTTATTTATTTTTGAGAGAGAGAAAGAGAGACAGCGTGAGCAGGGGAGGGTCAGAGAGAGAGGGAGACACAGAATCCGAAGACAGGCTCGAGGATCTGAGCTGTCAGCACAGAGTCCCACACAGCGCTTGAACCCGTGAACCATGAGATCATGACCTGAGCCACAGTCGGACGCTTAACTGACTGAGCCACCCAGGCGCCCCTTCCTTATGTTTCTCTCTCTCTTTTTTTAAAATGTTTTATTTTATTTCTAAGAGAGAGAGAGAGAGACAGCGTGAGCAGGGGAGGGTCAGAGAGAGAGGTAGTCACAGACTCTGAAACAGGCTCCAGGCTCTGAGCTGGCAGTCAGCACAGAGCCCGACGCGGGGCTCGAACCCACGAACCGCGAGATCATGACCTAAGCGAAAGTCGGACGCTTAACCGACTAAGCCACCCAGGCGCCCCCCTATGTTTCTCAATAAGCATATGGTGCTTTGTAATAAGGAAAGCAAAGTATTTGAAAAAACCACTCAACGTTAAGGTTGTTTGTGTGAAAGTGCTTTGATGCTCATATTGTGTGACATAAATGTGAAATGTTATTAGTGTTTCTCTGGGGAGTTAGAAGCACAGTTGGCTTCACGTGTAAATCAATACATTTGACGACATGGCAGATAAATTGGTCAGTGGGCGGCCATGTTTTGTGCAGCTCTGGAGCAGGTAGGCTCCCTCTGCTTGCTCCTCCTCCCCTCCCCCTGCAGCCCCGACTTGTGCTCCTGTTTTTTCTTCCTCTCCACACACCATCCAGCCCTCCTTCCTCTGAACGAAGCTGTCTGGTCTTGTCTCCTGGGTTGAATCATGCCTCAGAAACGGAAAAAGCCCCAAGGCCAGGGCCTGTCTGGCTTGAAGAGCCGGGGCTCAATTTTGAGTGTGACATCAAAGTGCATAATGAGGGTTGCATTGCAGACTGCAGGCTAGAGGGCAGGCGTGGGTGGCGCCACGGTTGTAGGCTCATGGGCTGTGGCCCTGATGGAATGCTGAAGCCGTATGGCCAGAGATCGGTGAGGAAAAGGCTGCTTTTCCTGCGGTGTGATTTGATGGCATCCTCTGGTCCCCCTCACCTCCGAAGGCTGTGGTGCCAACTCACTGTCCTCTGCTCCTGAAATCTCCAACTTTAATGAAGGCTCCTGTTGAAATGTATTCGGGTCATCTGGGGCAGCAACCTAACCTAATCCTAGGATTGAAGCTCTGGAATCAGGTAGACCTATTACATTTGGGTCCCCACTCCCCTGCTGCTTGCAATAGTCACTCGATGTCAATGAGCCTGGGGGGGGGGTCTCATCATCCATAAATGACGACAAAGAGCACTTACATACAGCAAGCATATGACAGGCACAGTTCTAGGTACCTTTCTTATATCAACTCACTGGATGTATACAACAACCTTAATAGGCACCTGCTGTTATTTATCATCACACCCTTTTTACAGATTGGGAAACTGCAGCCTGCTTGGTTAATGAACTTGCTCAAGGTCCCACAGGGCCGGCAGCAGGATGAACCAGTATGGCTCCAGAGTCTATGTTTCTAAGAGCCACATGGGGAGCCTCACTGTGAGATGGGACAACAATAGTAACTATGATTTATTAGGAGCTTACTCAGTGCCAAGCACTATGCTAAATGCCACTCAGGAATTTCTCATCTGTTCAACTCAATGCCTGGAGGAGGCAGGGACTATTGTTCTGTGCTAACATCCACCTGTAGGACACTGTATACAAAGACCTCTGTTAAAGGCGGGGCCTTTACAGGTTGTTACAGTGTGGACGACCTAAGATGTGTCCATAAATACATGTCATTCGTGGTAGACTCAGAGCTTCACGGAGCTGGAAGAGAGCTCAGAGATGATCTGGTTTACACTCATTTTTACTGATGACAAGAACTGACTTGCTTTGTTTACTCCCAGAGAGTTTGGGAGAGGATCCAGTGAGATGACAATTAGCAACACTTACTGAGTTTGCTTGCTGTGTGTGTGTGTGTGTGTGTGTGTGTGTGTGTGTGTGTATTTCATTCAACCCTCACAACAACCAGATAGGAGAGGCACTATCATTATCCTCATTTCACAAATAAAGGAACAGCTGTGGAGAAGTTAATAAGCAACGTGTCCCACGTCACAAAACTAGCATGTGGCAGAGCTGGGGTGCTGGAAAAGTAGATTCCAGAGCTTGGCGCTGACCCACCATGCTCTGTGCCGCCCTACTTACAGAAGGCTGTTAAGAAGCCGAGGAGGGGGAGGGTGGATCAGGTGGATTAGAAAGTGCTTTGTAGGCTACGAAGTGCTATACAGACTCGGGTTAGTATCAGAAAGAAGTAAGGGTCCCAAGAGAAGTATAAACTGGTATAAGGCTCAGGACAAAGCCAAGGCTGATCTCTTTGCTTCGGATTTGGACCCGTGTTCCTAAGTAGGAGTGAGGAACCACTCTGAGTGGTGGCCACTCAGAGGGGGATAAATGGAGGCACAGAAAGTTGGTAGCAAGGACAGAGGTAGGAGGTGAGATAGCTTGAGTTCAAGCCCTGATGTTTTACCACCCTCTGATTACGAGGCCATGGGTAAGCGATCTCTATCTCAGTTTCCTCATCTGAAGAATGGGAATGATGATAATAGTATGTCGTCAGAGGTTTATGCAAAATGGACACGCCAATTTCTTTAAAGTGTTTACTCTAATGCCTGGGCACCCAGTAAGCACTCAGTAAGAGCTAGCATTGTTATTTCTGTTACTATTATCCCAGATACCTGATGGCTGTCTTGAATCAGGGAGGAGTGGCGTTAGAAGAAAGCAGATATATATCTACTGCCATCTACTCTTGGTAAATCTAAGTCGGCTGGGGTGAACTGGTTTGCAAAACAACGCAGACTAACTTCCCACTTTCCCACCTTAGGCTTTGTCTTCGAGAATCTGCTTTTCAGGGAAAGGTAAGGAGAGGGAGGAAGACAGGGAGAGGCCAATGGGTCACCGGGCCTCTGGACTAAGAGAGAAGGGTCATCAGTGGTTTCCTGGTGGTCACATTCACGGATTTCTTTCTTTCTTTCTTTTTTTTAATTGAAAAAATTTTTTAATGTTTTATTTATTTCTGAGAGAGAGACAGCATGAGCAGGGGAGGGTCAGAGAGAGAGGGAGACACAGAATCCAAAGACAGGCTCCAGGCTCTGAGCTAGCTGTCAGCATAGAGCCCGACACGGGGCTCGAACCCATGAACCGTGAGATCGTGACCTCAGCTGAAGTCGGACACTTAACTGACTGAGCCATCTACGGGCCCCCACATTCACTGATTTCTGACGTCTTCCCTCTGTACCTCTGTTAGAATTTCTGAATTCCTGTTAATTAGCCTCCTCACCCCTTTGCATAGTGTGGATTTACTTTCTTTTTTTAAAAAATTAATGTATTTATTTTGAGAGAGAGTGTGAGTGAGGGAGGGGCAGAGAGAGAGAGAGGGTAAGAGAGAGAATCCCAAGCAGGCTCTGTGCAGATAGGCTCAAACTCATGAAACATGCCAGATCGTGACCTGGGCCGAAATCAAGAGTCGGACGCTTAACTGACTAAGCCACCCAGGTGCCCCTATGGATTTACTTTCCCTTCTCAGAAGTAATGCATTCTTGCAGGGAACATGCAGATGGGTGGGAAGTCTTTTCTCTGAACAGATTAATGGAAGGATTAATAGAAGGATAGAAGGATGACAGTCGGGTGGGAACTAGGGAGAATGGAAAGTAGTATGTACTGACCGGCACTCCTTTGCAGGGCCAGGCTGGGTGAAAGAGCTCCACGTTGCTATCATGCCAGCACTGCAAGGAAAGAAAATTAACTCCATTGTAGAGCTCTGTCCAAGGCCACAGCTAGCCCATGGAGAAGGGGGTCCAACCCAGATCTATTCAATGCCAAGGGTCACCCTTGATACAAAATCTGAGAAACTCCACTGACTCAGAGTTATAAGGCCAAGTCAACCCGGCTTGGGGAAAGGACTGCCCCATGGAGGGAAGGCATAGTTCATTCTGCTCGCAGGCCTCCTCCCAAATCCCCAGAAGATGAAGCGCTGGAGGTCAGTTCTGTCCTTGCTCCAGGTAGAAGATTGCAATTTGTTGTCACCAGGAAATTCATCTCCATCACGATGTTACTACTTGTGGTTATATTTAACTATCTGTCCAGTTGCTCAGTAGCTTTTGGTCGTGGGGGCGGGGAATAGGTCAGAGGCACAAGGAACTATTTCTGGGCTCTGGCCTTTGGGAAAGCAGCCTTGTCCTGTTTACACATCCTCTCTCCAGATTTGCACAACACGACCACAGAAATGTCACCATCCAAGCCCAGGTAAATAGTGGCAACCAAATAGTCTCCAGTTAGCCAATGGCTATTGAGCAACCAAGGTAGCCCAGAACCCTACACTAGTCAACTATGATACGTATAGAAGAAAAGAGCAGCATCAGACTCCTGACCTTGGACTGTTGGAGAAGAAGCATACTCCTATCTGGGGGAGGAGGTCCCACAGTGCAAGTTGCGAGCCCCTCTCTCACATGACTCCTAGGCCAGGCACCCCTCCTAGAAACCACCCAGGAATACCACCAAACTGAGGTGTCAGCGCTAGCACGAACCCTATTTTTTCTTGCTAGGATGAGAGGAGGAAGAAGGAAGTCTCTTACTCAGCAATGAATAATAGATGGATGAATCAGGTCTCCTCCAGAAAACAAAACTGAAGGGAAGACGGGGCCTGTGTCTGGGTCACCTTCTTCAAAAAGTCAGGTGGGGGAAAAATGATGTAGGGCAAGAGGCTGGCCTTGGGGGAGAGAAGGGATGAGGAGCCTGGTTGCTCTACAGAGCTCGGGAGGGGAATCAGTTGGAAGGGAGCCCCCAGGTCACACACCTGAATATGTCACTGTCAAGTCCCCAGAAGGCAAAAAGCCTGGATCAGCCTGTCAGGAACTGGATATTTGGCCAGTCCTGAACCCCTAGAACCAACCTGCTTCCCCCTCTTTTCCACCAGCTATTTCAGACTCTACCAGTGGAACGTCATCTTCAGCCCTCATTTTCTTTCTTCTTTTTTTTTAACTTTTAATGTTTATTTATTTTTGAGAGAGACAGAGTGGGAGCAGGGGAGGGGCAGAGAGAGAGAGACACAAAATCCAAAGCAGGCTCCGGGCACAGAGCACAACTCAGGGCTTGAACCTGGGAACCTTGAGATCATGACCTGAGCTGAAGTCAGATGCTCAACTGACGGAGCCACCCAGGTGTCCTTGGAGGAGAGGGTGTGAGAAGTGGTCAAACCCCACCAATAGCTCTGTAACTGAGAGGAGGCCTTCACCAACTGGGATTGGAATAGGGGCTCAAATAAAATATATAAAGCTTGTTGACCCCAGTGTGGTCCCTGGGGACAAGTACATGTATTTGTTCTTTCTCTGTGATAGATACTGTCCTTTGTGGGATCGGGGTGGCAGGAGAAGAACCTTCCCTATTGAGCTTGCACATTTTGTGACTGCCCCTGGGAGCTTCATCATCCTCCGACCATCCTAATTCAAGACCTTTCTTCTTAAACGGTCTTCCTGCTTCCTATTGCCTGCTAGAGTTTATTCTCTACATATCAGCCAGAGAGATCTTTAAATAACATAAATCATGGGGCTTCTGTGTGGCTCAGTCTGTTAACGTCTGACTTCCGCTCAAGTCATGATCTCACCGTCTGTGAGTGTGAGCCCTGCATTGGGCTCTCTGCTGTCAGTACAGAGCCCGCTTGGGATCCTCTGTCCCCCTTTCTATCTATCCCTCCCCTGCTCATTCTCTTTCTCTCGAAATAAATAAATAAACTTAAAAAAAACACCATAAATCATTGTCGTGTCACTTTCTTGTTTAAAACTGTTCAAATGCCCCTATCACATTTACGAGTAGAATTTAAACAGTTCAGGACAGTGACTGAGTCCTACCATGACCTGCACCAGCTGACTTCGCTTTCCATCGTTCTTCCTCCGGCCCATTCTGCTGCCGCCACACGCACCTTTGTTTCTGAGCTCACCAAGCCTCCGACCTCCTCAGGGCTTTGGTACTAGCTTTCCCCTTTGCCCAGAATACCCTTTGTTCTTCTTACCTTTCCTGGAGGTCTTGTCTGACCACTCAAAGGATTAGCCAGATGAGCCGACTGGCCCCACCCCACCCCCATCACTCTATTTGCTTCACAGCAAATGGTAATACTAACTCAACCAGTCTTGGCCAGCATTTGTTTACTCGTTCATTGTCTCTCTTCCCCACAACACAAGCCCCAGAAGGAAAGGGCTGTGTTTATCTTGTCTATCACTGAATCGCTAGTGCCAAGCAGAACCTGGCACATAGTAGATCCCTAGTATTCGTTAGATAAATGGGCTTTTCAAATCCGAACAATCTTGAGAGGTCTGTGAGAAAACGGACGCTCTGTCAGGCTCGGGCTCAGAGTGCTGGTGGGTCTGAATACAGACGTCGCCCTCCTTCCAGACACCGCGTCCCTTTTCCACCGCGGAGGCAGCCCCCCTACCCCTTCTCACACACTTAATCCCCCTCTCCTGGAGGCATAGGCCGGGATTCCAATCCTGTCTCCGAGCCTGGTGCCAAGCTCCCAAGTCCTCTCACGTTTCTGGGGCTCACAGACGCCACCCTTTACTTAAAATGCACGTCGGGTGCGTGCAACCCCCCTTTCCCGGGCCCCCAATCAGGGCAGAGAGAAGTCCCGCACCTTCTATGGTAAAACGGGGCGGGCCCCCTAGCCCACCGGTGGTACGGCCTCAGCTCCCCGACTCGGTCCCCCTTCCTGTTAGGGAGCCCCTGGGCCGCGTGGGGGCGAGGAGGAGGCTCCAGGCGTCAAGGGCAACGAGGACATTCAGGCCCGAATTGGGGACGGGCCGCCGTAGCGCAGTAGAACCTTTCTTCAGCGAGGCCTCGTTTGCCGGCCGGGCGGCTTTGGAGGAGACACACGGCTTAACCGTCCCTCCCGCTCGCACCCTCCCCCTCCCGGCCCAGTGTGCGGAGGCGCGCCTTCCTGCCCGCCCCGGGTCCGGGGGCTGCTGCCGCGGCGCTTTCCGCCTCGTTCCGGAGGCTTCCCCCCTCGGCGGGCGTGGAGCTCCGAAGCCATCGGCCGCGTCTGGCGCTTCGGAGCTCTGGTGGGCGAGCGCCCGCGGGCTTCCCCCAGCCGGGGAGGACGCAGCGCGGAGGCGGAGGCGGAGGCCCAGGCGGTTTCAGGCCCCAGGCCCGGCGGCCCGGGGCAAGCGAGACGCGCCCATCACTGGCCACCCGGGGCGCGTGCGGTCCTCTTGGGACCTCGCCGGCGACCCGTAGCTCGGGCGCGCGCCTGTCGCAGCCCGCAGGAAGGAGGGGTCCGGCCCGAGGCCCAGGGCGGCGGCCGCCATGGAGATCCCCTCGGCCCGGGGCCGGCGCCTAGGGCCTTGGGGGCGGCCCTGATCGCCCGCCTCCCTGCCCGGGCCGGGTCGCGGACGTGCCCCCTGCGGCATTCGGCCACCTCCGCGTCTCCGCCCTCCCCGGGCCGCGCTGCTGCCTGGGCGCGGCGGCGGCGACGGCGCCCTGTTGAATGGGCTGTGAGGGCCCAGGTTTGACGCGCTGGCGAACGCGGCCTCCGGGGGCGCCAGGCAGCAGCAGCGGTGGCGACCAAACGGGTGTTGGAGTTGGCGGCGGCCATGGAGGGCCTGGCTGGCTATGTGTACAAGGCGGCCAGCGAGGGCAAGGTGCTGACCCTGGCCGCCTTGCTTCTCAACCGGTCTGAAAGCGACATCCGCTATCTGCTGGGCTATGTCAGCCAGCAAGGAGGGCAGCGCTCCACGCCCCTCATCATCGCGGCCCGCAATGGGCACGCCAAGGTGGTGCGCCTGCTGTTAGAACATTACCGGGTGCAGACTCAGCAGACGGGCACTGTCCGCTTCGACGGGTAGGTACATCCAGCCCCTCTCCTAGCGCCCCGAGAGGGGCCTCCCCCCTCCTTCCCTCTCTTCCCGGAGGCATCACTGCTTCCTCTCGGTGCATCCTCCTGCCGCATCCTTGACCGCTTCGTCTCCCGGGGCTGAGACTTCATCCCGTGTGTTGCTGCTCATCCTCGTCGGCCCCTAACCCCCATTCCCTCTGTGCGTCAATAGCCACACCTCTGCCATGACATCTAACCGGTATTCTTCTCCACGAGAGAGTCTGGGAACAAGTCGTCTGGAGGAGGTGCACCTTTCCAGGGTTGACCTTTATCGATGGTGGGGGTCGGAGCCGAGAGCAGAAATTAAAGCGGTCAGCAATTAACATTGAAGACTTCGGTTTGACGAGTTATTTGGTCACCCCGTTTTTACTCCTTCAGGCGGGTTGCTGTCGAAATAAGCCCCTAGAACTCCAGCCTCGGGAGGGGTCGTCAGGCAGCCAGATATCCCAAGCAAGACACGATGCCGACCCTTCCACGTTGCTCGGGGTAGAGATGTTGACTGCAAAAATGGCACTGGTCCTGATAACAGCGGATGATGCTATTGTTAATACACATTATCTTGTGATATTGTGAGGAAACTTGATAGTTTGCTGTTCCGTGAGATGGGGAATCAAATTCTAGGTCTGGTTGTACATATCTTTGGGGTGTGATACTATTTAACACAGAACTGTCAGGTTTGACAGCGGTCTGCTGTGCTGGATGATTACAAAGTGTCTTACAGATTACAAACTTCATTGATTGCATTTGTTTTGGTTGACTTTGGTGCCAGTATATAAGCTGTTCTAGCTTTTTTTTTTTTTTCCCCTTCCTTTTCGAGGTGGATGTGGCCCAAGCATAAAGATGTGTGTCTTTAGTTTCGGTGCTTGAAAACTGCTTGGCTAAAATCGCATGGAAAAAGCGCTTCTTGAGGATGACTAGGGCATTGTCGAATTTTGGTTGATTCGCTTTTACGTTTAAATAATAGAAGCTTTTTCTTCTGTTTTAGATGAGAAGAAAACATTAGAGTATTACATTTTGATGAACTGATAGCCTGCGTTGGTGGTTAATATCCTGTGCCACCTCCCTAGACATTAAGGAGATGCTCTTTTTTCCTGTTGATTGAAGATGGCAACCTGATTCGTGTTTGCTCTCCCTTCCTGGCTTCTGTGTCCTTTCTGTAACTGCCTGCATTCCCAGAGCCTTTCCCGTACCCAGAGAAGTGACACAGAATGACCGACCCCTGAACTTCCAGCACCATTCCACTTGTATAGGTACATGCGTTCCTTGAGATGTATCATCTACCGGCAACACTGCAGCCAAGGAGCTTGCTGGGGCCTGTTCCGAAGAGTGGAGAATAGTGGTGAGAAAAAATAGTTTCCTAAATTATTTGGAAAGGCTTTGCTTATTGCTGTCTTCCTTAACCAGAAAAGAGAAAGGTATTTTGAGATGGAACCAAAAGAACTTGAAATGACTGGAAATGTAGCGTTGAGCCTGTATAGTGGATTATCTTGCCCGGTGTTCTTCACCGGCCAATGAAATGGAAGAGTTCAGTAGGCAAACCCTTACTGAACTCCTACTGTGTGCCAGGCTCCGTAGTAGGGATTGGGTATGCAGAGGTAAATAACATACTGTTCCCGCTGCGGAGGAAGACAGTCTATCGGGGAGACAGAAATAGATATATAAGTGAATAATTGTATTTAAAGTTTTAGAAGTCTTTTGGACTACTAAGGGAATACAGGAAGAGGGAGTGCTCAGCTTTGCCTGGGGGAATCAGAGATGGCTTCCTGGGTGAGGTGACGTTTGAGTTGGGTCTTAAAAGAAGTGAAGAAGAGAGGCAACAGCATGGTGAACTTGGCAGTGACCAGTGTTTCAGCGTGGTTGTAGAAAGGGGTTCAAACTGGGGAGATTGAGAAGAGATTGTGGGAGACTGGAGTGAGGTAGAGGCCAGATTTTGATGAGCCTTGGGAAGTAGCGAGTCGGATTGGTGAGACTGTAGTTGCGAACAGTTCTGTCATTTGAGATTTTGGCTGAGCATTCTTTCTGCCCTTCAATCTGTCTGTTCGGTGTGTGGATTGTTACAATTATGAATTTGTTGGCTGCTGTGTAAAGGTAGTTGAGAATTTTATTTATTAAGTGCCTGCAGTGGGCCTAGCCCTATTTATTACATCTTCTGTGGAGGATACAGAAGAAATACAAGGTTTCTAATTTTGAGGAGCTTACCAATGATCTAACAAGGGAGCATTGAAGTTCATGGCCACCTTCCTGCCCACTCACACCACTCTGTGAGATTTTGCAGTTTATTCCAGTCATTTTGGCATTTCAGAACTAGATAAAAAAGAGTGTTCTTTGCAAATGTCATGATTTCGCTTTGCGCTCATTCCAGACATTATGAAAATGGCCTGAATGCGGTGTTAACAATGTGAAGCTCACTCATCCCTTAGGGGCTGGCTCTTTGAGAGGTACTTGGCTGAATCGCCCCTTAGATTCCATTGGCGCTTGAGAGCCATGGCCAGGTGGGGACTCACAGGTTCTCCCTGCGTGCTGAAGTAGTTTCACTTCTTATCTTCATCTAAGCAACAGTTATCTGTATAATTATGGGTTTGATATAGTGTGTGTGTGTGTGTGTGTGTGTGTGTGTGAGAGAGAGAGAGAGAGAGAGAGACATTAAATATCTTATAAAAATCTTTTTAAAGTTTATGTTCTGCCTAAAAATTTCTATTATATCTTAGGAAATTAAAGTGGACTCATAATAAGAGTCCCACGGAGGAAGGGACTGCCTGCCTAGATCAAGCCCCACGGTGATACTTGAGCCCTTGTTCATATTTTTAGGAGTAACATTTGAGATTATTTTACTTATGGTTTAATATGTGAAGACTAAACTTGACAGACAAGTAGGCAAGAAATTTTACTTGAGTGGAAATGAAAGATCCTTTAATTGGAGAATGAGAGACTGTTAAGAATGTTATAGAAACGAAACAGAACAGAGGTAAGGTGTCAGGTGACCATGGAATATTGTGCTGGCCTGAGTTCCTAGGGCCTGACAGCTCTGGGCCAGAGTTTCTGGGGAACTTTGTCCTAAAAGAGGTTTGCTGACATGGATGGGAAGGAGAACAGGACCTCTTGGAATCTCAGGTTTTTTGTTGAGTTCTCTTACTTTTAAACTTGGTGCTAGTACTAATAGTTTTGATGTCCTGGTAGAGGACAGGCTTAAGGGGCACATCATCACTTGACTTCATTTAAAAGTCATTACCGGGGAGTATATATTTTAAGAAACTCCATTTGATCTAGTAAATGATTTTAAGGACTTTGGTTAAAATAAAGTATTCATCATTTACATTTAATGAATTTTTATTTCCATTTCAAATACTTGAACCAGACATTTTTATTTCACATTGAACCTGGAAATAGTTCTACGTAGTTTTGTGTTCGGAAATGTTTTTAAAATTTGTGAAATGTTTCTATCTGATGTGTACATTTTGTTTAAAAAGGTGAATGTCAGATTATAGTTTCTTGATATTTATATATTTACTTAATTTTATTTTATTTTATTTATTTATTTATTTTTTTTTAATGTAATCTCTCTTCCCCCAACATGGGGCTCAAACTCACGACCCCAAGATCTAGAATCGCACGCTCCGCCAACTGAGCCAGTCAGGTGCCCCAGTTTCTTGATTTTTAAAATTAAAATACATAATAGAGAATCTGCAGTGCAATTTGGACTGAGTCTAGAAAGATCATTGTTTTTATAGTGCTTCTCCCATATGGACTAAGTACATACTGCATTAATTTTATTATATATTTATTTTCAGTTATAAATGTGTTTGGTTAAGTTGTTTTGAGGAAGTCTGTGCTCATAATTGCAGCTGAATTTTATGGACAAAGGAATGTCATAGATTTTAGGCTTATGTATTTAGGTTAATATTAGGTTAATGTATTTAATTTTCAAAATTTACTAAGGCTAATGTTTCTGAAGGACTAGTCATTTTCTTTTTTTTTTAATTTTTTAAATGTTTTTATTTATTTCTGAGAGAGAGAGTGTGAGCAGGGGAGGGTCAAAGAGAGAGGGAGATACAGAATATGAAGCAGGCTTTAGGCTCTGAGCTAGCTGTCAGCACAGAGCCCCACGCGGGGCTCGAATCCACGAACTGTGAGATCATGACCTGAACCGAAGTTGGACGCTTAACCGACTGAGCCACCCAGGCGCCCCAGGACAAGTCATTTTCTAATACATTCTGCAGTGAATATTTTTGTCCTAAACTATTTACTTATTTAAAATTGTTTAAGATCTATTTTAGAGAGAAAGCGAGTGAGTGAGGGAGAGAAAGAGAATCTCAAGCAGACTCCACACTCAGCAAGGAGCCCAACGCAGGACTTGATTCCATGACTCTGGGATCATGACCTGAGCCAAAATCAAGAGTCGGATTCTTAAACTGACTAAGCCACCCAGGCGCCCCTGTCCTAAACTATTTACAATTTTTAATTGCCTCAATAAAAATAGATAATTGAAACTTTTTTGAGGCTCCTGTCACATCATTATATGGAAAAATGGAAATGATTAGGCTACACCACAAAAAGCATTAAACTATTACAAAAAACCAAGTGAAGTATGTGCCTGTAATTTAATTTTTACTCCTACATCACTAATTCTGGGGAATTTTTGGATGAGAAAAATATTTTAATCACTTTTTGTCTCTTTTCTTCATCCTTAAAATGGGGGTCATATATGTCTTATATGGTTATTGTGAGTTAAAGTTAATGTATGTGAATGCCTATTTTAATGTGAAATTTTTGAGTTTTACATGGTTTAGGTTCATGTTCCTAGAATATAATAATTTTATATTTTTAAAGTTCAAGGAAACTGGGGCACCTGGGTGGCTTAATCGGTTAAGTGTCTGACTTCAACTCAGGTCATGATCTCACAGCTTATGAGTTCAAGCCCCACATTGGGTTCTGTGCTGGCAGCAGGGAGCCTGGAGCCTCTTTAGATTCTGTGTGTGTGCGTGTGTGTGTGTGTGTGTGTGTGTGTGTGTGTGTGTCTCTGCCCCTCCCCCGCTTGCACTCTCTCTCTCTCTCTCTCTCAAAAATAAACACTTAAAAAACAGCAAAGCACAAGGAAACATTTAACTATGTAAATGTAACATATTAACTATGTATTAATTTTTGATAGACTAATAATCAGTTTGAAAATGCTGTTTAAAGTTAAGTGTTTGAACAATGACATGTATTATGTTTCCTTACATTTGATGCATTTTATAGTTTCTAGAGTACTTTTGTGTTTCAAATCTCATGTAAACCTTAGTTATATATCTGTGAAATAAGCATAATAACAATTTTGACCTTGTAGGGTTATTGGGAGGAGGGATTAAAATGAGATACATTGCATGTTGAGTACTTAATACAGTGAGTGCTTGGCACATTGAAAACATTCATTTTAAACTCTTTTTCTCTTTGTGTGTCATTTTTGTTTTTAATTATGCATATTTTTAGTTAAGGTAGAACAGTCTAGTAAGGTGAATAAATTTTAAGTGTACAGTGGCACCTAGGTGGCTCAGTCAGTTAAGCATCTGACTCCATCTGCGGTCCGGCCATGAGCTCCGGCAGTTAAAGCCCGACATTGGGCTGTGTGTTGTCAGTGAGGAGCCAGCTTGGGATTCTCTCTTTTCCTCTCTTTCTGCTCCTCCCCTGCTTGCTCTCTCTCAAAATGAATGAATAAACTTAAAAAATAAAAAAAGAATTGACTGTATAATGTAATAAAATTTTAATATGTTTACATTCATGTGAACACCTTCTAGATCAGTATGCAGGACGTTTTTATCTCTCAGAGATTTTCCCGTGTCCTTTCTCCATCAGTTCCTCTCCTTTCCCTTCCTAGAAGTAAAGATTATTCTGACTTATATCACCAGATGCTAGTTTTGCCTATACTTGAACTTCCTATAAAGGGAGTCGTACAGTATGCTCATCTGTCTCTTTTTTTGCTTAACACGTCATCTATCTATGAGATCATCTGTGTATTTGCATGTATCAGGTTTTTTTTTTTTATGTTCTATAGTATTGTATGAATCTAAGGCAGCTTCTTTATCCTGCACATAGATATTGTAGGTGTTTCCAGTATTTGACTTCTACAAATAAAGCCGCTATGCCCATTTTTATGTAAATGTCTTCCTTGGTGGATATTCGTGTTCATTTCTCTTCAGTATATGCCAAGGAGTAGAATTGCCGGGTCATAGGGTTGCTGTGTTGCTAAACAGTTTTTCCAGAGTAGCTGAAAACAGTGCATTCTTACCGGCACTGAGAGTTTGAGTTGCTTCACATCCTGGCCAACACTTTGTCATGTCAGTCTTACTAACTTTATGTAGCCATTCTGGTGGCTGTGAATTGGTAACTCCTGGTTTTATTTTGCATTTCCCTCGTAATTATCTTGAACATTTTTTCATGTTTATTGGTCACTTGACTGTCTTCTCTTGTGGTGTGTACTCCTTTAGTCTTTTCACCCATATTTTGGTTGGGTTGTTTGCCTTTTCTTTATTGATTTGTCAAAGACATTTAATGCAAATATCTTCTCCCAGTGAGTGGATTGCATACTCACTTTCTTCACAATATCTTTTGATGAATTGAAGTTCTTCATTTTAATGAAGTCAAATAAATCCGTTTTTTCTATGATTAGTGTTTTTTTTTGCATTCTGTTTAAGAAATGGTTATTAATCCCAAGGTCATTAAGACAGTCTTTACTGTTTTGCTTTTCATACAGATGTATGCCACTTCTCCAATTTTTATGCATAGTGAGAGGTAGAAGTCAAGATTACTTTTTTCCCATACAGTTACCTAGTTCTTTAGGACCATTGTTTGAAAAAGACCATACTTTCTCCTTGATTTTCAGTGGAGCTTTGTCATAAATCAAGAGACTATGGGGCTCGGTCAGTTGAGCATGCGGCTCTGAATTTCAGCTCAGGTCATGGATCCCAGGGTTGTGGGATTGAGCTGCACTCAGCGTGCAGCTGCTGGAAATTCCCTCTCTCTCTCTCTCTCTCTCTCTCTCTCCTTCTCCTCTGCTTCTGCATGCTCTCTCTCAAAAATTAAAATAATTAATAAAAAGAGGGTCTGTGTTTGTGAATCTGTTTCTGGAGGATTCTTTTGGTTCTATTGATACACTTGTCTATCCTTGTGCCGGTGACACATTATCATTATCATTGTGGTTGCCCTTCAGCCGTTTCTTGGTTGTTCTAGGTCCATTATTGCATTTCTGTATTCCTTTTAGAATTAACTTGTCAGTGTCTCTCTGTGTGGCTATGCTGGCATGTATGTATACACACACACTCTCTCTCACCCACCTCTGCTGGGATTTTGATTGGATTTCATTGACTATAGATCATTTTGGCGGAGAATTGACATCTTAACACTATTGAGGCTCCTAACCATGAACATGGAATATCTCTCCATTTATTTAGATCTTTAATTTATCTCAGGGATGTTTGGTAGTTTTCAGTGTAGAGGTCTTATATATTTTTCATTAGATTAATTCCTAGGTACTGATATTTTCTGATGCTCTTATAAATGATACTTTCTTTGATAGTGAAAGAAAAAAATTTGAACTTTGTATAACCATGACAACAAAAATGTTAATGAATTTTAATGAAGCTGAATTGTTTGCAGGAGGTACAGTTGGCAACCATTAAAACTGTCACTGATGTAATGTCTTCTCTTTTGGACTCTGGTTTAAAAAATCAATTAACAGGTGGCATTTACAAAAAATAAAATTTAAAAAAGAAACTTCAGAAATCTCGTTTTTCTTTTTCGAGGTTTGTCTTCCATACAGTAAAATGAACAGATCTTAGGGGTGCCCTTTGATGAGTTTTTTCCCTAAATATCCACCCACGTAGCCTCTTCCCAGGTTAAGATATAGGATGTTTCCAGAAGCATTAAGCCTATTCCCAGTCAGTTGTACACCCTTTCCCATAGGTATCTTCATAGGTCCTTGTTAGTGAGAAGACTTTTGCGTCATTTTGTGTCATTATTTGAAACTGAAGCAGTAACTGCTGGAATTATTATAAAGTGGGTCTTTTCAGGAGAAACAACAGACCGATGGTGTTTTGGGGGTATTGTTAATTGGAGTTAAACTATGATATTTATATTATACCAGGGAAATTGTACTCTTTCATTTCATGGGTGATGTAATTTGACCTGTGTTATAACATAAGGTTGTGTAACGAGGAGCTCAGCAGCGAGGTTTTTAATATAGATACTTAATTGTTCCAGTAAATATTGGTTTTGTTTGACCTTTTCCCTTAACACTTCCAAGTATACTTATTTTAGTGGCGTAAGCACAGTAGATCTAAGTATCTGCAGCAAAAATCTACTTTTTAGGTCTGATGCTCAGTAATAGGATAAAAAGTTGAGAAATTGAGGTTGGGGGAAAAATTGAAGGTAGAAAGACAAGATAGGCCTCCTTGCAAGTCTGATTTTATATAAGTAGTGAACCTAGTGTATATTAGACAATAAGTAAGTGGTGACTATGAAGCCAAAAAGTGCTAACATAGACTGAAGGTCAGGGAAGATGCCCTCTTGTTTTCAGGAAAATGCTAATTGTTTCCTGCTGTTAATATTTTTCTCCAGTGGTTTAGTTGAGGAACATACACAAACCCCTAATATACACACATATAAACATATTTTAAATTGTTTGAATTTTTTTTGAGAGAGCTTGTACATGCATGCACATGTGCACAAACAGGGGAGGGGAGAGGGAGGGAGAGCATCTTAAGCAGGCTCCATGCCCAGTGTGGAGCCAGACTTGGAGCTCTATCCCATGAACTGTGAGATCATGACCTGAGCTGAAATCAAGAGTTGGACACTTAACCAACTGAGGTACCCAGGCACCCCTTGAGATGTTTATTCATTCATTCATTTAAACATTTGTTTATTTAGTTTTGAGAGAGAGACAGAGCACAAGCTGGGGAGGGGCAGAGAGCGAGAGAGGGAAACACAGGACCTGAAGCAAGCTCCAGGCTCAGTTGCCAGCACAGAGCCGGACGCGGCGCTTGAACCCACCCACGAACCGTGAGATCATGACCTGAAGCGAAGTCGGATGCTTAACCTACTGAGCCACTCAGGCGCTCCAGAGATTTTTAAATTGGAGTATAACAGATGGAGAGAAATGCACTAAATGAAAGTGGTTTTTCAGAAAGTGAACATATGTATTTAATAAAGTTCGTTTTGTGCTTCCTCCCACTCTCTACTCCCCTTATAGGGAAACAGTATCCTTCTGACTTCTAACACTACAGATCGGTATATACACGTAGTAATATATGTACTGTGTTTGGTTGACTTTTGCTCAGTGTTATGTTTATATGATCCTTCCATATTGTATGGAGCGGGACTTTTTTCGTTCTCATTGCTGTGGTAGAAGTGTAATATTTGATTAGCTTATTAGATAATCTTAGGGAAAATGATCTGCTTAAATCCTTATTTTCCTAACGTAGTTTTCTAACGTAACGTTAATATAGGGATTAGGGTAGTTTTCTTACATATCGAGAGAAACTGTGGTCCTGGGGGATCATGGGAAGGAGGAACGTGCTTTTTCTTAGGACCCAGTGCATCAACTGGGTGGTAAGGACGTTATGAGCCTCTGTATGTTTCCTCTGTGTTTTCTGAAACGTATTTACTTTTGCTAGTAAAAAATCAGTGATTTTTTTTTTTAGGGTTTGTACTTTGGTAATAACAGTAATAGTTGACATTTATTGAGCTTATATGCGGTATAAGTACAGTGCAACATGCTTGACCTCACTTACCTGATTTTAAGGTAAAACTCATGTTTTATTAACGTTCTGTAGATCAAGCTTTTGGTCGGTGCAAATGAATGTATTCTCGAAGCTTCAGTTAGGGCAAGTGGGCTCCATTTTCTGACGGTTTGTTTTTATCGTGAACAGGTATGTCATTGACGGAGCCACCGCTCTTTGGTGTGCAGCAGGAGCTGGACATTTTGAAGTCGTTAAACTTCTAGTCAGCCATGGAGCTAACGTGAACCACACCACAGTGACCAACTCGACCCCCCTGCGGGCGGCGTGCTTTGATGGCAGACTGGACATCGTCAAGTACCTGGTTGAAAATAATGCCAACATCAGCATTGCCAACAAATACGACAACACCTGCCTGATGATCGCAGCATATAAGGGACACACCGACGTGGTCCGATACCTTTTAGAACAACGTGCCGATCCCAACGCTAAAGCACATTGTGGAGCCACAGCGCTGCACTTCGCAGCCGAAGCCGGCCACATAGACATCGTGAAAGAGCTGATAAAATGGCGCGCGGCAATAGTAGTCAACGGCCATGGGATGACGCCATTAAAAGTAGCTGCCGAAAGCTGTAAAGCCGACGTCGTCGAACTGCTGCTCTCCCATGCTGACTGCGACCGAAGAAGTCGGATTGAAGCTCTGGAACTCTTGGGTGCCTCCTTTGCGAATGACCGCGAGAACTACGACATCATGAAGACGTACCACTATTTATATTTAGCCATGTTGGAGAGGTTTCAGGATGGTGATAACATTCTGGAGAAAGAGGTTCTCCCACCAATCCATGCTTACGGGAACAGAACCGAATGTAGGAACCCTCAGGAACTGGAATCCATTCGGCAAGACAGAGATGCTCTTCACATGGAGGGCCTTATAGTCCGGGAACGGATTTTAGGTGCGGACAACATTGATGTGTCGCATCCCATCATTTACAGGGGAGCCGTTTATGCGGATAACATGGAATTCGAACAGTGTATCAAGTTGTGGCTGCACGCCCTGCACCTGAGACAGAAAGGTAACAGGAATACCCACAAGGATCTTCTTCGATTCGCGCAAGTCTTCTCACAGATGATACATTTGAATGAAACGGTGAAGGCCCCAGACATAGAATGTGTTTTGAGATGCAGTGTTTTGGAAATAGAACAGAGTATGAACAGAGTAAAAAATATCCCAGATGCTGATGTCCACAACGCTATGGACAACTATGAATGTAATCTCTATACCTTTCTGTATTTAGTGTGCATCTCCACCAAAACACAGTGTAGTGAAGAAGACCAGTGCAAGATCAACAAGCAGATCTACAACCTGATTCACCTTGATCCCAGAACTCGGGAAGGCTTCACCCTGCTGCATCTGGCGGTCAACTCGAACACCCCGGTTGATGACTTCCACACCAACGATGTCTGCAGCTTTCCCAACGCGCTTGTCACAAAGCTCCTGCTAGACTGCGGCGCTGAGGTGAATGCAGTAGACAACGAGGGGAACAGTGCCCTTCACATTATCGTCCAGTACAACAGGCCCATCAGTGATTTTTTAACCTTGCACTCTATCATCATTAGCCTGGTTGAAGCTGGCGCTCACACTGACATGACCAATAAACAGAATAAGACTCCGCTAGACAAAAGTACCACTGGGGTATCTGAAATACTACTTAAAACTCAAATGAAGATGAGTCTCAAGTGCCTGGCTGCCCGAGCGGTTCGGGCTAATGACATTAACTACCAAGACCAGATCCCCAGAACTCTTGAAGAGTTTGTTGGATTTCATTAAGCGACTGGATATGTAAAATCGTTTAATGTGGTGCTAAAAAGTAAAGGACTTTAATCACAGACAATAGAATTATGTGTTCATAAATTCTGCTTTTCCTTCCACTTCTCTTCCTCCCTACCCATCCTTCCTTAGTTCTATATTTGGTCTTTTTGCCTCATGATGGTAATTGATCTCAAATACACTTTAAACAAAGCCACATTGTTTAGGTGTAACTATAAGGTGTCTGGATATTGGTCACTTAGCCCTTCCTTCCTTCCTTCCTTCCTTCCTTCCTTCCTTCCTTCCTTCCTTCCTTCCTTCCTTCCTTCCTCCCTCCCTCCCTCCCTTCTTTCTTAATTAAAGTATAATTGAGATACATTATATTAGTTTCAGGTGTACAACATAATGATTCGACATTTGTAATTTTTTTTAAAGGAATGACTCTAAAATATTTTGTTTATGTGACAAGGGATGTTTATGATTTGAAGTGGATGTTTTAAAAACTGCCTACAAAAGTATTTCTGTTAAGCCTGTGTCAGTGTGCTATCCTTGGAGCAGTTTTGAGGATTTCATGAAGAAAAACAACTAAAAAGGGACCATTAAAAAGTCCCGGGACACCCAGGTGTTCTGCACGTGCCAAGCTGCCACAGGTGGTTTTCACTCTTCCAATATTTATGCGGAGTCATACAGCACATCGTAACGTCGGGAGGATTTCAAAAAAATGCAGCTGCGGATTAATCTGAAAATGTGCTAATTTCTTAATAGTCGTAAATTTATAAAGTTAAATCCATTGAAATTATTGCATTATGCTGGCTGGTATGCACAAGGGAGTCATAGTCTTAAAGCAATTTTTCAGAGAATATGGATGGACCATTTGCCGTTAGGCTTAAATTCTAAAATTCTTTGGTCTCTGTTTTCACGTAACTTCTCTAAATTGCAGCAGTCTGCATTTGAACTCAGCTCACAGACATGTAAAAATGACGAATACTGTGTTTTCTTATGAAACAAATTGTCATAACATAGTTATGCATTCTGTTTCTGTCCCTCTCTCCCTTTTCCTCCCGTGTGGTCTCTTTTTAAAACCTGGAAACTTCTTTTCCAGAAGGCACTGTTTGTGCCCCCTCATAAGGTGTTTATGATGGATGAAAAGGAACGAGGATGTTTGTAATTTGTTCACTGTCTTTACTTTGTCCCTTACACCTAGTAGCAAAATCACTAGTGTGGCATAGGAAATGAAATGTTGCTGATGATAAAAATTATTTGCGGTGCTGCCTGGACCGTAGTTCTGTCTGAGAGCTGAAAGTTAACCACAGAATGTCACCGACTGTGATAGGCTGTGCAGAGGTGGATTTTTGTTTCGTTTCGTTTTGTTTCATTTCGTTTTGATGGCAGCATTTGAACTGTCAGACTGAAATTGTATTCTGTGATTATCTTTTAAGCATCACAGAAATTCAAGTAAAGGAGATACACCTATTTCTATTGATGTTAACAATGATAAAGTAAAATGAGCTCTATCTGTATTTTTTCTCTCTAGTGCCAAATGAATGCCTTAGCTCCTCCTAGTGCATGGTACTGTAAGTGAAGACCTGCAGCTTTTTTTTCTTTAATGAAGAGCATTATGGTGACGTAGTAACATCAGCTCTAAACTCAAAAAACACAAGCAAACCAACCCCAAACGTGTATAGTTTCAACGAACATTTTATGTTTGCATATTGTTTTGTGGAGTATAAGAGAAGAGTTGCAGTTGGATCAGTATAAAACATAATGACCAAGCCAAAATTAGCACCTAGGGCCTTAAATAAAGTAGATGCCCCCGACAAAATGAAATAGTTTGAAGGGTGGGAGGGATTGGAAGGTGGGAACCTTAAAAACTTTGTCCCCTAAGGATGCAGGATGCTTTTAGGGCCACTGTAGTTATACTTCACGTTCGTCTTGCTTCAGCGAGGAATGTTTTGATGGCAAATTCTGTCATGGTAATGTATTTCTGTTTTCCTAACCAGAGGTCGTTACAAGGAGGGTTTTTAGGATGGCTTAAAGGGAGATATTTGAATGAGCCCTAATTTGAAAATCACTGGCCTTGATCCTTCCGGTGCAAATCAAGGAAATACTGTACCTTGCTCTTGGCAACTCTTGTGGCCTGAAAGAGAAAATGCACGTCCTCAAGGTGAGTGAAGCACACCTTTTCCACAGCTTAAAGCAGACCCTGTGTTTTTCAGTCTTCAAGGCCAGTTTCTCTGACAGTCTGAAGAACGGCTCCGATACTTGCTGTTCAGTTGGTTCCATTATTAATGTGTATGATTTTTAAACACCAAAACTTAAACTATCAGATGATGTTGCATGTTTTAAAAACCATGTCATCCCTTTGGCTACCCAGGACCAGCACTCTATTTTAGATATTACGTATTCGTACAGTGAGGATAATGATTATATGTACATATCCAGACATCAAAATGTACTGATAGTGCTTTGGAGAAGGGATGCATGGTGGAGAGAGCGCAGCTGCTGACTGAAGTGCTGACAAGGTGTGAGAGAGAGTCTGAAGACCGTGGAATGAACCATGAGCTCTGCTAATGGTAACATACTTTTCTACTATAGTGTCGTAGTACATCGTGCGCTCTGTTGCTAAGGATCTATTTCTGTCTTGTAAAATAAATCCAGATATGTATTGTGAAACCTCTGTATAAAACCATTCTTGAAACAAGTGATCTACATGCCTGTTTTATTTGTTTTTGGTAGAATTATTTTAAGTACGTTTAGCCAAATCCTTCCCAAGCGGAAATTTTGTGTGTGTGTGTGTTTTGTTTTTTAAATTTTTTATTATTATCATTTTTTAGGAAAATAAATCGGTAAGAAGGGTCATAGTTCTGTGTCTCTCGGCTCATGAGAACTCTAGGCTGACTCCATTTTCCAGCCACTTTTGTCATTTTCTGTTGATTATTGCTGGAAGTATGCTTCAGATTGTAAGTCTTCCTTGATAATATTACACATTCGGCCAAAGCTGCTTTGTCTCGCTCAGTGACTGTCCTACAAATTTGGTTGAACGAGAGGCCCAGGAGGATGAATGCCTGGGCAAGCCAGGTGAAACTTACGTGCGTACTTTTTAAAAAGAGTTGGTGAAATTGAACCCTTGGATTCAGGTAACTATTCAGCTCAAGGAATGGGGCAGCGAATCCTTCCCCTCCACTGATAAAGAAGGGGGAAATTTTTGATGTAATTTGATGTGGTTTTTCTCAGTCTAGCCTGGCCTGCTCCGGCAGGCCACGGTCCCACTACCCTAAGCTTCTTTGCTGTGGGAATTTCACATAAACAAACCAAAAAGCAAGCTTCACTCTTGCTCGTTTCTGGGAAGGGTTTTGGTTCCTGTGCACTAATAGTCGATTAATAACTGATGATTAGGGGAAACCTAGAGAGGTACGATAGCGCTGTTTGAAGTAACAAACGATTTGGGGGCCGCAGCTCCCTACGTGTATCAACTCTGTATTGGGCAAGTGTCTTTACGAATTACGATCCCAAGGGAAGAGCGCCCTGTCCCCAGTCTCCACTGCAGTTGAGGCAGCTACTTTACCATGAGACCATTTTGGATTACTCGTGCAGAAACTTTTTTCTTTTTGGGAGTGGGGCAGGGTGAGGAGGGAGTTGCTGGCCCTTGGATTACAGTGTGCTGGGTTTAGAAGCAGCCAGTGATTGAACTAGTAAGTAGATGGATAAAAGTAGAAAGGACTTGTTTTTATGGTAGATTTTCTGTAAAAAAAAAAAAATCTTCACTGTTCCTTTTTTAGCCTAGCCAGAAGTATCTATGTACAAATGACTCTTCTGTTTTCCTCACTGACTGTGCTGTAACATTGAGATGGGTTAAAGAAAATGAAACTCTGCCTTTTTTGCTCTACAAAAAGTTACCAGTCCATAAGATGTTAAGCCGTGTGTTTATCTCCACTCTGAAAAGGCACAGCTCTGCCCCGGAAACCCTCTCTGGAAGGTAGAAAGCTCCTAGTTACATACGGCACACTGCAGGGCTTTCTCATTCGTGTCTGGCAGACTCGCCCAAGTCTTCAGGTGGGCTGGGTTGTAGGGACAGCGTCCTCTCTCCCAAATATGGGATCTGAAATACATATGCTGACAGTGATGATAGATACATTAATTTTTAAAAGTGTAAAGTAAACGTGCTCTGTAGTCCTAGGTTTGTGGCGTGTTCGTTTGTGTTAATGTGCAGGGAAGGGACATTGACGTGATGGTTATGGGGAGTGTATCTTGATATGTGTACAGGGCCGAGTATTGCTAAATTATCAACAGCTTTTCATTTAGGGGTGAGCCATGTGATGAGTGGCCTAATCAGCAAAACGAAGGAGCGAAGATGTAAGCTTTGCCCCGTGATGAAGCAAACAAGGTTTTGTATCTGTTTTTTTTTAACCAGGTGTCGTAAAATTTGCGCATGGCTTTTTTTGTTGTGGCTTCTTAGTAATTGGCAGAGGAGAAAAGAGGAGGAAGCCCCTCAGCTTTGCTAACCGATCTTTTCAGAGGTACATCATTGGGGAGTTAAATCTGACTGGCCTAATGTGTTGAAAAGAACCTATCCTTTCTGATATTCACCCCGTCCTGTAATCCTCCGTACAGGGGAGCTACACTGTTGTATTCTAGTAATTCACTGTGATTTGTAACAAACCAGTGATGTCATTCTCTTGCGCACTTTTGTCAAACCATTTACGTGACTTTAATAAACATAGTAAACTTGCTGACTGCACCAGAGGTCTGTTAGTGATTATATTGCATGACATTTTCTATTTGAGTTTGACATGTAGAATCATTTTTAATTTCGTGGCAATTGACAGTCCTAATAGCCCAGCTAATCTGAAACTAACAATATTGCTGTGTAAAAGGAAAAAAAATGGTGTTTGTGTTCAGTAAATGTTTGAAAACAAAACAAAACAAAAAACCCGCCTTGCAGTTTGTGTCTTTATTGTTCAGTGTGCCTTAGTTGAGATGCTCTTTTGTTGGATTCATTTAAAAAAGAGTTGTCAGTTATATGTGCTTGGGGAAAAAAATTCATAGTAGTAAAGAAAAATTCAAATCATAAACAAAAC